TGACTCAATACTAGGAGTTTCGCAGCTATTTGTAGGTGACGTGAATTTCAAAGGTCTTCTCCAATCAGGCTGCGACTGAGATGACTTCACACGGCACAGCATTGGTTGGGGATTCCCTATGGGGGAGGGGGGGGTCGTATCTGGCCTCCAAAAGGGGGGGTCGTAAAAGCTCGACCAAAATCCCCATCGAATGCTGTGCCCTGTGACTTCATATTTTGGTGTACATGAAGGTGATGGGCGAGAGCCAGCTCCTGCTTATCGAGGAACATCTTGGGTATCTTCCGCCCTGGTACTCGTATCCACGTCCTCTGTCTGGGCTGCGAAAACTTTGCTGATATGTGACTCGGTCGAAGTGACTTTTTTTGGCCCCCTGTAGTATTGATCAGTCCTACTAATGTCAACAACCATTGTGCTCTCATCTGTTAATGTTAATCAGTGATGGAGGGATTTGTAATTCAAAGCATTTAATTTTCATTTAAATTTTCGAAAGTTTGATGAAAATTAAAATTTAAAATATGAAAAAAATTTTCCACAACGGCAGTCCTCACGGGTCATGTTTTCAAAATAGTGAACAGTGTTCACTATTTTGAAAACATGATCCGTGAGGACTGCCGTTGTGGAAAATTTTTTCATATTTTAAATTTCAATTTTCATCAAACTTTCGAAAATTTCAATGAAAATTAAATGCTTTGAATTACAAATCCCTCCATCACTGATTAACATTCGTCCTCAATCACTGATGAGAATTCGTCCTCTCCATGATCCGTAAGATTTTCAACTGACTTCCTTGCACATGAAGGCAATAGAAATGTTAAGTGTTTGAACAGTTTTGAATTTCCAGAAATCGCCAGTTTTGCGTTTTACAAGTTAACCTGGTAACTACTATTTACATGGCACACAGCAATATATTAATTCAGTTGCTTTCTCCATCGTTCGTACAAAGGCCTCCATACGATCCCAGCTGTCGACCTCAGCGGTACCTGCGCTTCATTACTCAAGGACCTTTCTCGCACATCATATCATATATCGTCCGAAAATGCCATCGAGCGAAATCCCTCCATTTTAAGGAAAATGGGCATCGTTATGATCAGGATCATTTGGGAAACACAACTATCTCATTTTTAATCACTTCTTATGCGATACAGTACGTTATTTGATTCCTGAATGATTTAATTCCCAACGATTACCCTCTGGTTACAATTATAGCGAGACTCGCTCGCTAACGAGTGTCCTCAGGTACTTCGATAGGAAGCAGAGTTCAATTTTCGACTTTTCAGTTTTTTAGGATGCCAGCTTATAGAACTCGACGAGCTGAGTCTAACAGTATAGGGTTCTATATGAGAAGAGTTATAGCAAAAAAACAAAAAAAGGGGATCTTTGGTTTTTTTCGAACAATTACGGCGGGCATTGTACTTCCAAGCTATTCATCATATTCTATGGAGCCGATAAGAGCTTTCCAGGATCGTTCATAAGTCAGATACTGTTCCTCAAGCCGATTCAAACCGGAAATCAAGGAAAGAGTGGTCAGTGAACCATGATTTTCAGCTGAACCTTGCTGAAACCCTGTCATGAAAAGTATCAAAATGATCACGGAATCATGCTCTTTCTGAATATGCTGGTATTTACGGCTTTGTGGCACTTGGTTTGAAGTTCATAATTGGACTGGAGGGTTGACGACGCAGCCGTGTCCGACCTTTAGGTTACTGGAGACTCAAACCTCGATTTCCTTGGAGAAA